CTTACTAAGCTAAACATAATTTCTACGTATAAATATATAATATAAAGTAACATAAAATAAATAGTTTGAAATTTAAAATTTTCTTTCAAAATGGTCCCATTAGGTTTTACATAGTGTCATGAAAATAATTTCAAGGTTACTTAGCAATAAATTGAATAAATATCCCAATAAAATCATGCAATTGCAACATCTTCTGAGCCTTTTGTTATTATGAATACTGTTATCATTGAATATTAAATTATTACTATTAAAATCGGTAACCACATGTTCAAAAGTTGGATAAAATCAATTTCACGGTATCTTATGATTAGTGAGGTAACTTGTGATTTATTATACGGTATACCTTGATGTAACAATATGGTTCAACCAATCAGAGATAATTATTTAAGAAGACACGAGACGGCACAGTGTAGTGTGAACCCCCAGCTTAACGGTTAATATAGTTTTTGAAATAACCTTAAAGAAACGGTTACTGATTACCATAATATCAAAATTAAACGATAACCGGTTACCAGTTTTAAAAAATTTTCGGCTCCTACTGGAGCTGATTATCAACTTTATTAAGAACGGTTTTAAGCACTGATTAGAACCATGCTTTTTCAAGGTTTCGTATAAAGAAGAAGTGGTAACTTGACAAGATAAATCATTTATACTATCCCAATAATTAACAAAAAAATTAAAAAACCCATATTTTTTGAAGGAAATATATATTTTATTAGAATTTTTAACCCCATGACTGATATTTTATGGTTTTTTACTTAAATTTTTATTCAAACAGGTAATATATAAATTGTAATGTCAAAAAATCCATGGACATATAAAATATTCTGCTAAAAAAATCAGTCACCTTAGTTGCTTTTTTTTGATTGTAGTGAGTATAATTTTGTTTTTCTAAGAAAAAGCTTTGTAGATGTCTACTTGGAAAACTGTTTTTATCAACCTCTTACTTGCCAAAATTTGTTTAATAAGTAAAGTATTTTTAAATATTGTGTCACTGAATAAACATTATTGACTTATTTTTTAAGTATTTTATGAATCAAAATAGACTTTTAAAGATTTAAGCAAAACAAGCAAATATAAACTGCAAAAATATACAGCCACTTATGAGATATTCGATTCATTATATGGATGACTTTTACTCCATGTATTAGTTATTTCCACGCAAAAATATGTATGAGGTATATACAGGTATACACAGGTAGGTTAAAGTGGATGAAAAGAAGGTTAAAGCACAATATAAAAGTATTACTACCTATATGTATGCTATAAATATTATAAATAATATAATATGTGATAGTATATTTTTTTGTTTTAAAAATAATAATAATTATAAATCTATTGTTTTATAAAATCGGTATAGTTATAAAAATGCATTATTAAATTAAGACTATAAATTAAATAAATTCTTAAATATTATTAATTTTAATTAAATAATCAAGTGCAAAAAAAAAAAAATTTATAACTTATGACTAGGGCGCGGATTTTGATACCCTAAAAATGTTTGATTTTATTTGATCAATGCTTTCCAGCTGTTACTTGATTCTTTGTTTCTTGTATTTTTATAGTCACGTTGAACTGAAAATTAATTTTATACCAGTAAATTAAAAATAGTATTAAGTATAAACAGTTAAATTTTTAAAAAAAAAATAGTAATAATAATTAAGTATTTTTAACTTGTGAGATAGTATTTATTGATTAATGTGTTCAAATATCAGTGTTCTTCGGTTATTAGCTTATTTTGTTTATTAATCGAAAAACTTCGTTCGACATCTACAAAGGTAATTATATTATCAAACGTGGTCTTCAGGAACATTATCCGTATCTCGTGAAACAATGTTTCCTTCCAGTTCTTAATGTTTTTAATAACTTTATATCCGTTATTATTTTTTCAAACAATACAATATAGGTTGATGATAATGGAAGTATGGTGCCGTGGAAAGAAGGTGAGTATAGTAAGTATAAAAAGGAAAACCAGAAAGGAGTTGAGAATTTGGTGGAGTAAATTAATAGGAAACAAAGAAAAAGAATTTATAAAGAAAGTAAAAGAAAAAGCTGAGTGGAATTTTAAATGAGGTTTAGAAAAGAATGGTAATTTGTGTTAAGAATATAGTATGTTAAGTGTAAAGCAAAATAGGTTGTTGGTGAAACCAAGAGTAGTATGCCAGAAAACAAGTAATCGTAGTGGCGGGATAAGGAGAGTGGTAATAAATAAGAAAAATAAATTTATATTATGGCAGAAAAGCAGGAAGAGAGAAGATTGGATAGAGTATAAAAATAAATTTATAGACTGACTAAGGTTAGAGAAAAACGATACAGGGACTTCAAAATGTTTGGTAAATAAAAAAAAGAGGATAAGAGTGCTAAAAAACTATGGAGACGGAAAGAATATTTTCGGGTGATTACTGAACGAGAAGTATCCAAAAGTAGCTTTAGAGAGTATTTCATGGAATGAAGGATTGCTTGGTTTAGTTAGTGAGGAGGAAGTGAAGGTTGCGGTGAAGGCAATGACAGAGAAAAAAGCGGTAGGATCAGATGGAGTATCTCTAAAAGTGTGGAAAATTTTAGGAGATGTATACATTGGATGATTGAAAGAACTTTTTAATAAATTGTTATTAGATGGAAAATGCCAGAAGATTGAAGAAAGTGTTTTATTGTAATAATATTTAAAGGCAAAGGAGACATACAAGGATGGATTTAGAGGAATAAAGCTGAAGAGTCATGGTATGAAGATTTGGGAAAAGATTATAGAGAAGAGAATAAGAAGTGGGACATCAATATCAGAAAATCAGTTTAGTTTCATGGCAGAAAAATCAACAATTGAGTCATTATTTTTTGTTAGACAACTAGTAGAGAAGTTTAAGAAAAAAAAGAAAAAATTATGCATGGTGTTTATAAATTTAGAAAAGACGTATGGCAGAGTGCCGAGAGAAGTTTTAAAGTGGGCATTAATGAGAAATGCGATCTCAAAAATACATATAAATTTGATTCAAGATATGTAAGAAGTAGTGAAGTAGAACTAGTGTAAAGAGATTGTGTGGAGTAATAGAAGATTTTAATGTAGGAGTTGGTGTGTATCAAGGGTCGGCTCTAAGTCTTTGTTTGTTCTCTGTCGTAATGTATGAAGTTACGGAAGAAGATTTGCGATACTAAAAACATTTGGAACATAATTAACTTAAATTTAAATAATAAAAAAAAAAAATAATAAGTAAAAGTATAGGCAAAAATTCACTATTACGACATTAAAAGTTACAACAGTTCACAGTCATTTATTTGCATGTAACTAGTTATCGTCACAGCTTTTAAAATATTTTTTTATTTTTTTTTTTTAAACTTTTAGTAAAAGCTATTATAGCTCAACAGTTACATTATTTTATTAAATAAAATATACTTTTTAGTAGGTACATTATAAATGTATATTATAAAATTAATGGTATCGACAATTAGTAGACTGGAATTAAAAGTTTGAAATCTATTAAGATATATTGAAGTCCATAAAATATAGCCAATTAAAAATAAAACAACATATACATACACACATTTGGGGAAATTAAAATCTCTCGGCCTTCAATCCTGTTCCTGTATAAACTGGATATAATTGCGCAATGCATAAGTAACCTAACCTAACCTACTTAATCGTTTAAAATAGATACTTGTCATAGTGACAATGTTACTTAAAATCAGCAAAATATAAATATTGTACCTAGTATTAGCTGTAATGTTAACGACAAAGGCAAATTAAATAAAAATAAAAAAATACCTAGTATGCGACTTTCGCAACAAATGTTAATGTTAGTATAAATGTACCTTAGTCGTCGCTTTACAACCGCCATGAACATTTCGCCGCTTTTCTAATTTTACTGTACCTACTAAAAATTCTTGTAAATCATATATTAAATTAAATACTAACCTAATTGTTCTAGTGATGCTACAGACAGTCCTATGCATGTATAAAAATGTGAAGGAAATGAAGCTTAGAAAATATAATTTCATATCAAAAAAATGTTAAGTTATTATGTACTCAGACCGCAATTCGTATGTATCACAAAAATACTCAGACCGCAATTCGGAAGAAATTTTTACTGTCGCAACTATTACCTACCCAATTCAAATTTTGAATACAGAGTTAATTCAGACTTTCTATAAAAAAAAAAACTGAAAGTCTCTATAGATATACTCAGTTGCGTAAACTGGGTGGTGCAAACGTGGTACTTGCAACACTACATCTAAAATGTGGTAGTGCAAAAATTTGTTGTTACACCATCAGAAAATTATTGAAATTTTTGTATACCTGTAACATTATTTTCAAGAGCCAAAGAAATCAGCATACTAAAAACAAAATTTGATTGTTTTTTTTTTTTATTAATATTATGATAATAAAGGTTTTACAGCTAAAATAATTCAAAATGTATTTGTTATTTAAAGAAATATATGGGAAAATATATAGTTTATTGGAAAGAATTTTACTTAGAAAATTGGAAAATGTGTGTGTTGGAAATTATAAGTTGAGAATATGCCTCTGCACCACCAGAAATTGGATCCAATTTACGCCACCGGATATACTTTAAATTAAAATTCTCAGACCCACTCGACTTATTCCATTTCATCAAAAAAGTTCATCATGCAAAGCAAATACTTCATATTTCAAGAACCAACTAGATATAGCAGTTTAAAAGTTACTGGTACTATTGTATGTTTTGGAATATGGAACTTCTATGTACTTTCTTGTACTTACCGATTTTATAAAATTGTAATACCCCCTCTTCCTCATAAGTTCTTGAATACAATTCTGTATGATAATTTAACTTAATTGAAGTAATTTTCATTATTATTTTAAAATAAATACGTCAACGGGATGCGCGCTTTTATACTACCAGCAAGATACACGATGAAACACGCGTACACAAATGTAACAATATTTTTACGATAGCTGTTAAAGAATTTATGTAAAATGTTTATCTCACTTCACACGCGACAATTCAATGGCAACCACTCGTTCATCTACTAGCAAAGTGCTAACATAAATAATTGAAGACTGTAAGAGGTATACATAGTCTTCATGGTAGCAAGTAAGGATTAATTGCCAACATGTTTTGTAAGTTGTAACATTTTTAAACATTTTGTTATAATCTCGTTCCCCCGCGATTCGTAATAATAATAATAATAATAATAATAATAATAATAATTGTTGCAGTATTTATGTAATGCGGTTATTTTTAGAGTACCTAGAGATAAAATATTTCAACTTATGGGGATCTTGAATCGTGAATACGGCTTAATGCTAATATATCTAGCATTTGATATGGCATAGTATCGCTCCATTCGCCGATATCGTGTTCAACACCGATGTTTGACGATTTGATTTGCCGAGGATCGATGTAAGTGATAAAACATAATATTCTATTACAATTGGTACTCCAATTAATCACGTCGCGACGCGTCGGTCATCCCCACTAAGCTAGTTAGACTGTTGTCTTAGTATTAATTCAGTTGTGTTACGCGTAAATTATTGTTTAAGTAGTTATTTGGAAATCGTTTGTCTATACTTGAGATAAAACATTAAACAGATAATATATTATAAAAAAAAAAAAAAAAAACCAGTCTAAATAACCAGGTATGTAATGAATATTTTTATTTTTATTATAATGTATAATTTTAATGTAATACCGTTTTAATAATGTGTTTAAAATTAAAACGAATCGTTTAAATATCACCTCAGAATCTTTGTGCAATTTTGTGTTATATCTTCGGAATCTTCCTATTGTCTTTGGGTTTCTAAGAGAACCGACTTCCGAGATAACCTCAATTCGCGTAAATGCCTTTTATTTTAAAAATACCGAATCCCGTTCCTAATATCCGTTCCGACGTTCTGTTTGTAAATTAGTTACTTACATACACTTGGACTGCACATGTCTTATATTCAGATAATATTCCTGAACTCCGACAGTTCTGATTAATTTTTCGTCGGTGCTGGTTCCTTGTGGGAGACTTAATTAATTTTGATCGTAAACAATTATTTTGGATTTATTCTAGATGTAACACTAAATATTACTGCGTGATGGTGGTGGTCGCTGAATCGTGGTTTGTTTCCAAGTGATATCACTGGAAAACGAATAGGAAACAACTAGTTGGGAGACAGGAAATTATTAGATCAATCATGATGGACCAGTATTCTGCTAAGGCACTGATCATTGTACTATCGATTATTTCAAGACTGTTCTTCGGTTTCACTCCTCTACTTGTATCCAGAAAATTATTTTCTAACAAATCTGCTGATTCATTGAAATCGAAAACGGTAAAAATCAACACCAAAACTCATTTAAGTACAGTAGATTATGATGTTTCGTTAAATGTTTCAGTTGGACTATTTAGTTTCATTATGCTTGAATTTGGGTGGAGGTGTCTTGCTTGCTACCTGTTTTGTCCATTTAATACCTGAGGTAAGAGAAAGTCTTACCAACCATTTGGAACAATACCATCATTACCCGTTTGCTGAGCTGGTTGTTTGTATGGGATTTTTCCTCGTCTACTTTGTTGAAGAAACTGTAAAGCATTTTGTTAAAAAACATAATAACCGCAATAAAACAAAAAAAACACAACACTGTGATAGCTTATTGCCATGGGCTAACAGTCAGTCGACAGCAGTCAAATCTGCTGATGATGTGAATTCTGTAAGTGTTGATCAAGGAACTGGAACTCCAGATTGCCAAATTGAACAAAATAATAATGAAATGTCGCATGTACATAATCTAAGAAGTCTATTTGTTGTACTGGCATTATCTTTTCATTCAATTATGGAAGGATTAGCCATTGGTTTAGAACAAAATATGGACGATATGGGTTTCCTGTTTTTAGCCGTTTCTGTTCATGAATGTACTATATTATTTTGTATTGGCATCAAATTAGTGATTTCATGTTCATCATTAACAAATATTGTGTTGAATATCATTGTTCTTACTTTGGTATCACCTTTTGGTAAGTTTATGTCTTATATCTAATAAATTTTCTAATAGTTTCAAAATAAAATGTTAAAATATTTTAGAAAATGCATGCTATTATTCTAAACTAGTTAATCTAATTTAGGTTTTCAAATGTAGATTGGTTTTATTTTATAAAATAGATTAACTTCTCAAATATTTATGTTTTGACAAAAATTAAATTAATTATGAAGTTTATGATTAACTAATTTTAAAGTGATTAATATTATTGTAGTAGTATTTTTATATTTTATTTTATACAAAAAAATGATAATCATTTTTATAAATTTGTACTGATAACTATAGATTATTCTATAAAAGACTAACTATTAAAATTTTAATTTTAGTTATTAAAAAACATAATTGAATACAAAAAATGTTATGGTTTAAAATATTTATTATTTAAAATAATATTGAATATAATATCATGTATACCAATTTACTACAATTCTTACTAATTACAATTGCACCATAAAATATTTGTATTCATAGTGTTGAGTTTTGTAGTAATATCTATGTATAATGTTGTACATTATATAATGTATACTAATTTTCTGTAATTCTTACTAAATAACAATAATTACATCATAAATATATTTGTATTCATGTTGGTTAGTTTATCAAATAACTTTCTAAACATATTCATTAAATAATTGGTCTTAACCTTGTTAATAGTATTTTCTGTCCGTTTTTTTATCGTTTTTTCTTAATTTGTTGTTTAAGTTCAAAATATTATTATTATTAACCTACAGTTCCATTACATATTATATATCTTATGAACATTTCATTTGTTTTTAACACTTCTTCAAAAATTTGTTGATAAATCAAATTATAATTGAATCATTAAGTAAATTATATTTAAAAATTGGTATCAGTTTAAAATGTTTGTATGTTAAAAATTTGTATCTTTTGAAACCCTTGTTTACTTTGTCAAATTTTTAATTTTATGAATAAAATAAAATATATCACAAAATTGACAATAATCTATAAATTGTAAAAAATAAATAACTATAACATTTTTGTAAAACTAATCAAATATGCTCAATAAATGCTGTATAAATTGAATAATTTTTTGGTCTTCTTTTTATTGAAAATATTAAAAAAAATTGAAATATTGAAAGCCCTAATTTTTTTATTAATTTATTTTTCAAAAATATAAGGACATTTTCAATAATAATTGATTTAAGATATTGTCTATAAAATATTTAAATACTAAAATTATATAATGAATAATTTAATTAAAAAATGATTTATTATATTTTAGGTATCTTCTTGGGATCGTTATTAACATTAAATGTGTCAGAAGTGGAAAATAATTATCACACAGTAGGAAATGCAGTTTTACAAGGTTTAGCTGCTGGTACAATTTTATATGTTACATTTTTTGAAGTACTTGACCGGGAAAGAAAAAAAGGTGCAGCGCCTGGTTTGCTCAAATTGCTATTCACTATGATTGGATTTTTTTTGATGGTCATGTTGGAAGTTATAGGTAAATTTCGGATTAACTTAATTTATTTTTTAGTTTAAATTAATTTTTATTACAGGTGGCCATAGCCATAAAGAAAATCATATGAATCATGGGATAAATTGTTCATTAGCTATTCAAAATGATCATCCTTAACATGCACTTAAATAATCATTTCAGATCTATTTGTTACCAGATATTCAAATAATAATAAAATAACCATATCCTTTTACACTTGCATTTTGCTTGTGTTACTTAAAAAAAGATAAGCTCAAAAATACTTCTGAAATGATTTTTATTTAACTACTCGCCGGTATTAAGACTAAATTAAGTTGTAACATGAATCATTTTATCGATCTTCCATTTATTAATTTTATGTGTAAATAATTTAAACGAAATAATGTTCCATTATGGATTATTTTTTTTATCTTCATAAAATGTAAACTACATACAATTTATAATGTGTATTGACTTGATATTAGTTTTAATTTTGTCTTAGGGTTCCTCGTTTCAAAACTAACTGAAATAACTATATATTTGGTTTATTTTATTGTTTAATTAGTTACAATATTTTACATTATTTGTATTCATATTGTGGCTTAACAGTTTTAAACTTAATATATATTTGACTTGTAAAAATTTTTTAAACTAAATTTATGTGTTGTCAACTTAAACTAAACAAAATTATTAAATGGGTTTTTATATTATGCTGTCATAAATTAAATATGTGACATTTTATTTTTTCTTTTAAGTGAAAGTTATCATTATAACTTTTCTATGATCCTAATATTTTGTTATCAGAATCATGAAAATTGTATAGTATGTTCAAATAAACATTTATTAAATTAAAATGTCTGTTATCAATTTTTCAAAATTATAATGGTTTTTTATTGTCTAAACAGAGAACTACAAAATTTAAAATTGCATTTTTTACTAATTATGGTTATTACTTTATTTGATTTTTTAGTTGAAACTTAATTACCTAAGTTAAATTATTTAAAAAAAAAAAAAAAAATATTGTACCTACTTATTTTTTCTTATTATATATTTCAGTATTTGAAATATTCTTAAGGACTATATTATTAAGACCACTATTTATTTACATAGTGTCCACATTAAAATTATATTGATAATGGTTTCAATGTAATTTACTTCATGCTATAAGCATATCACTACTTGATTAGTCAATAATTATGTCTTTTAGTGTTAAATATATTTTATATCAATTATTCTAAATTGAAGTGGGTACGTTATGTTCTAATACTTCAAGCCCATTCCCAGAAGGGTTAGTACTTTTTTTGCAGAAATTATATTTTCCAATATTATTTGTTACTTATTGAAATGGATTTTGTTAAAATTATGAGTATGATATGATACACATTAAATGTATTGTTTTTCATGTGGTAAAATTTTAAAATAATTAAATTGTGATACTAAATTTAATGATCAAAGTATATTTCTTATTGTTTGTTTTATTATATTTAATGGTTCAATTTTTTATGGGTTATCATGTCAAATTGTTTTATAATAATTAAAAAGTTGAAAAGTTATTAATTTCATTATTTTTCAGAATTTTTCTACTGCATTTAGGAAATCAAAATTTATTTATTTTTTGAAATTATGTAACTAAATATTTGATAGTTTTTCTTTTTACTTAATGTATGCATTACATTAAATACTAAGCGACACTAAACTAGTTTAAGAAAATTGTTATCGTAAATTTGTCTTTTTGACAATAAATTATGTTATGTAGTAAGATGAAAATTATAAATACTGAAATATAACGAGTTATTTGTAAAATAAAGAATCAATGAATTCAGAATTTCAATCAAGAATTCAGTGGAGTATTTGTTATTTTAATATTTAATTTTTATATACAAATGCGTGTAATTATATTAATATCTCTTTATTATTTTTAATTATTTAGTTTAATATGAAATAATAAATTTGTAAAAAGTATTTTACTGAAAATGTAATATTATGTTTTGTATTATTATATTTTCTTTTGTGATTATTTAGAACGAATAAACAGTATTAAATTATTAGTTAATGAAATTAATGCATTTGCCTCATTTTAAAATTTATTTTACAAAATTAACTGAGTTTAGTATATTCAATAGTAATATTCAAAATCTATAGATCAATCATATTTCATCAATGATTATAATTAATATAATATTTTGTAATACTTGATTTAATACAGATTTGACTTCTTCAACCAATTTGCTAAGTTTAGCAGAATTTTGTATTTTATTTTACTTAAATCATTAGAGAAATAAAATTAAATTTATAATTGATATAGTAATCATCAAAGAATAATTCATAAAAATAAAATTTTTCCTTCCGATTTTCTAATTATGTAAAATATTGGATTTTTCAAAGTAAAAAAAAAATATATGAAAATAGTTAATATTTTAAATCAAATGATTTAATTATAATAAGTACTTTCATTTTAATTATATGTTATATATATCACATAATATATTACATAAAGTTCTTCATTGTACATTAAAAAATTAAGTTAATTCATATATTTTGAGCAATAAATTTACATTGTAGTATTCATTTTTATAGCGTCTATAGAAATTATTAGTATGAACTATGACTAATTATCTGAATAAGATTGCTTAACTAGTCATAGATATAGACAAATAGAAGGTGACATCAAAATGAAAATAATAGCTCATAGAATTAAACAGAAATGTTTTGTAGCAAGTTTAATAAATATTAATTGAATTTTTAATATAAAATGTTAAAATATTAACAAATTAAAAAAATTCTATAATTACAGATATCTAAGTAAACATTAATTAAGTAATTTATACAATTGTATTTACAAAATTGTTTTATCATGTTCCTCAGCTTTTAAATGATTTATAGCATTTACTGTCCATGCATCTTTTATTCCTTCTGTGTATTCTCTAATAAATCTATAGTTCAGTACATATATACTACTTTTTAATTCTTTTTGTATGTCTACAATTTCTTCAGACCTTTTTTTGATTTCTTCTAAATTGTGTATAGCATGGTAGCACATTGTTATTTCAACAAAACGTCTATTTTCAACTGAAACATTAACAATTATACCATATTAATAAGTAAGTGATCAAAATGTATATTAGAAAACAGCTATACTAACTTTTTGTATCATTTATTATGTCCAATTGGACTGGTAAAAATAAATAGATATCATCATTATCAAATCCCATGTTTTGTAACTCTTCTTCATTAAGATTTGAAACAATGGATTTCACTTGTTGCAATACATCATTGGTGACTAGTCCTTGTAGAGTAGAAAAGTCTTGTTTGGCAATACATTTGGAAACCACTTCAACAGCCTATAAAGTAAGCATAAAACAATATCATTGTAAACATAGAACTAGAAAGAGGTACAGATGATGAACAAAACCTTTCTTGAATTTTTTGAAAACTCCCCAAGACTGAAGTCCTGGTCGAATTGCGGTTTGATGATCAGATATGAATATAACAGTGCTTTGATGGATTTGAATAGATTAGGCCAGACCACGGGTGGAAACTCGGGTACTTGAGGAAAAGGCTTATAATCCTTGCAATAGTGCCGTTCAGGAGTAAAGATTGTACAGGTGGTGTCAGTAGTGCACTTGAGTTTGGGTCGTAGAGATGAGTATGGTCTATCCGATAGAACGGTAGTGCTGGTATGGAACATTCTTGTGCAGCTTGCTCCTAGGGCATTTTTACTCAACACACCAATCGCGTCAGTGTTCAAAGATCTGCTCAAGTCGCATATTATCGCTGTGCTGGTCGTGAATTTTTTATATAGAATAGTTGAATACATCGTTACGTCTACTTATGCTCGTCGGACATGAATCAATAATGGACAACTGTCGTTGTTAACTTAATTTTTTTAATTTTAGAAACATAACAAAACGTTGTCCCTTTGCTGATAACAATTAACAATCATTTTTCCATATCATGATGTTCCACGATAAATTGGATGATAACCGAAGTCAATTTGGTTTTTGTTTTTTTACATCAATATTCAAACGACACATTATTGAGAATTGAAATCGTTCGAGATGTGAATACCACCTCGTATGTCCTATTAGTATTATTTTTTTTAATAGTAAACATTTGTATACGTTCAGTTCACGAGTAACGGTTGACGTTTAGTTGTCACCATTATTCACTCAGTATTATTATTCGTCTTTTAAGATTAATATTATAATAAAACTTCAATATGACTTCGATGGAAGTAAAAGAAGTGGTCGATCATCCCATTAAATTAAGAGGTACCTGTATGAAAATTATCATTCTAGATTTCTGGATAAAATGTTTAGAATTTAGAATTAAATTTTTTTCATTTGTTTTTCATTTGCAATAGTGATGCGCCTTGGTAAACCCGCTATGGTTAATTCAAAAGTGGTCACATGCGATTCTAAAGATTTACCTGGAAATGCATTGAATGCCCATTTGAAAAAAGAGGTGACTACCTTAGCTAATGCTGAAACGTTAGCAGCTGGATCGTTTCTCATGGTCCCAAATGTTCTTGAGTAAACAAGTTTTTAGAAATTCATTGATTTGTCAATTAACAATTATGTATCTTTGTTTTCTAGAAACTTGTATCTTGGCGAAACATTTTTGTGCTATATTTATTTGAAGAATGAAAGTTCCCAAACAATTCATGATATAATATTGAAAGCAGAAATAGATACTGCTACATCACACATACCAATTTTAGGGCCTAAGGCTTTTCCTAAGTTGGATCCATATGCTTCTATCGACGTTATAGTAAAGCATGAAGTCAAAGAACATGGAAGTGTCAAGTATGTGTCAAGAATTATTTGCTTGTTTTTAAAGCCTCATTATTGTATAATGTATTATAACTTTTGATTTTAGTAAATTGATTTGTCAAGTGGAATATGATCGAAAACATTCATTTGAAACAATATTCAGCTATAGAGTTCCAAAACCTTTAGATCTCAAAACCAAATTTTACAATACTGTGGTAAACTATTACTACCTATATTTTTCAAACACAATTTAAGTCGGTATATTGCATTAAATTGCATTTTTCTTTATATTTTAGACTGATGAAGTATACCTAGAAGTTCAAGTTCAAAATATAATGTCGACTCCAATCACGTTAGAAAAGTTTATCTTAGAGCCATCAGTTGGATATGATGGTAATTTGATATTATTTTTTGATGAAAATATTTGAGTAAAATGTATTATTTTATTAACAGTCAATTTAATGAATCATTTACTTACAAGCTCTGAAAATAAATCCGTATTTGGCGATTTTGATATACTAGACGTAAAAGAAACACGTCAGTACATGTATAGATTAAGTTTAGATCAAACTTCTGAAAAAAATCCACCAAGAACGAATAATCTCGGGAAGTTGGATATTTTATGGCGATCTAATATGGGAACAAAAGGACAAATACAATCCAGTCCATTAGTGAGACAGGTAATCATTGGTATTACAGTTCTGTAATAGGTTATATTCTTATTAGGTCCAGTCATAAGATGGGACTTACAATTATTTCATAAAATATTTTATTATACTCTTACCAAGTTTTCTTAAAATATAAACGTAATCACATTAATGTATTTATGAAAGATTAATTAAATTATACGCCATTAGTATTTAAGTAGATAGTAAACATATTTTTTTTAAATGTTTTATAAGAATTGATTTCCAGCATACATAAGCTTCTATATGTTAGTCTTAAAAACATATTATTAATAAACATTTCAATTTTATTCATACAAGTTTTTTACTAATATTGATATAAAATTTAGAACTTTAATAAATTAAAAAACTAAGTAGTTTGTTGATATAGGTTTGAAAATGTTTAATAAAATAAAATAGTACTATATGCAATTGCAGTATCAAGGTGACTTGTTCACGATCATTTAATTAATCTAAATGAGCTTAATTTTTTTTTTAAATAAATTAAAAAAAATTAATTTATGTATTTTATAGATTCCAGAATTAGATGACATTACATTTTCCATAACTTATTTACCCGATATGGTCTTTTGTGAAGAACAATTTGACTTCACATGCTCAATTAAAAATAACAGGTAATTTAAATATATTAAAATATATGTATATATATATTTAAAATAAACATGAAATATTTTGTATAATAACCAGTGATGGGAATTATTCGAGAATTCGAATAGGTCTAGAGTAAATAATTCGAATATCAGTATTTGATGCTACAGTACAATACATAACGAAAATTATTCGTTTAAGTTTTCGTGTAACACAAAACGTTTAATAATAATAGGTATTGTAGCATCGAATACTGATATTCGAATGTTCAATTATTCAAATAGAAATTTCTAATAATAACCTAACCATTAATAAGTATCAAATTTGTTAAAAATGAAAAAATAATAGTAACATAAGTTAAGTATAAATAGTCTAATACTCAATTAATTAGGTAAAAATATCTGGATGGCCTTATATTTGAAGCAAAAACTGGTGAATAATCAAAGTTGAATTAAATTAATTTCAGACAATAGGTCTGGAATTAATATCCAGGTCTTATTAGAAATCACCCTTATTCAGAAATAATTACATATGTATTAACTTAACTCATTTGTTTATGTCAATTCAGTATGATATAAAAATAAAAGCAAGTCATCAAAATCTTATTTATTATTCATAACTATGATTATTAATGAAATATGTATTTGTATACAATTATATAATAAATTATAATTTAATTAAAATTGTTATGAGAAATATATTTGTTATATTTTATGTAATAATTCGGATGATATTTTAAGAAACCGTGACATGCAACTAGTTGTTGAAGTCAGTGATGAAGAAGATAGCAATCTTGCTTGGACAATGATATCTGGTATACATTTAAGACTTTTACCTCCATATTCAACAATCAAAACAGTATTTTCGATGGTTGCTCTTAATCATGGATTACAAGTAATAATAATTTTATCAAATTTCTATAATAATATTTTACATTTTTTTTAAACAATTTTTTAGGTTATATCTGGTATAAAATTAAAAGAACTAATACTCAATCGAACATACACTTACAATAACTTTGGTCATGTCTTTGTCACTCAAAACCATAGTTAACTAGTTCAATGTAATTTGCATTTGTTATTTTTGTGATATTTTAAAAATAAACTAAATATCTTATTACAGTTAATACTTACTTTTAATTTAATGTGTAATTATCTATAAGCAAAAGTGGTTTATTTTTATTTATTTATTATAGTTTAATTTGTAGGTAGGTTAATCAAATTATGTGTGAAAATAATTAAATAGACATGTAGTTATAATAATTTAAATATATTTAACATTATTTTTATCAAAATGAATAATACAAATAAAATGTTTGATCATTATAATTAATTAAAATACAGTTTTTATTAAAAATCAAAATATTTAACGTGTTCTACATAGATAAAATTAATAAATAAAACATTGTAAGTAATAATCAGTACCAAATACCATTAAAATAATACTAGATGGTTATTTGTTTTAATAATAAAATTGAGCATTTAATTTCCTAAGTATAAGCATGCAATTAGTTGTTCAGTTTATTGTGCTCCAAAAACACCCACTATTTAATGGATGTGAACCAATGAAGTGCATAAATGATAATAAATACCCTACCCATAATAAAAATTGTTTTTTCTGTTAAAATACATCTTTGGAGCCAGGAACGTTGATATAATTATTCAGTAAAGATTCTCAAAATAAATAAATAAATATCACAGATTGCTATAAATATTTTGTTTGCTTTGGCTTGTAACAAAATATGGTATGCACCGAAGATATCAGATCAACAATCAATACGAACATGATTAATATAAGTATACCGATGTATTGGAGTATTGCAGCAACGCATAAAATTGTCCGTCAAGCCATTGCCTCTAAACGGCTCTTAACACGCCATAACTTCACTGTTCCATCACTGTAAATATTAAACATGGACTAGTAATAAGTTATACACATCAAATATTCAATACACACACAAAACATGCAGATTTCATGCAATATACATAATGGATAAAAGGTTTTTAAAATAATGATCACAACATATATATTTATATAATATATAATGATACATTATATATTAATATAGAATATAGAATAAAAACAAATACTAAAATAATTATAGATTAGACTAAAAAAAAGTGATTGTTAATTTGTTTATAAAAATCTCAACAATTTTCTACAATTATAAAACAAAATAGTTATGTACATTATAACAAGTAATTACATAAAGTAAGGTGGTTAGGTGTAGGTAGGTGGGTAAAATCACTTCAAATGATAACTATGTTTATCAGTGGTGTGACGAGTTGTTAAAATATTTATTTTATAATACATTTATCTTACTACTCAGTTATATATAATTTATCACTTTCAGCTTTTACACATATTAAATGTTAATGTATAATGTAGTATTTAAATTTTTTTGACACCATCAAAATAAATTAATTTGATAAAATATGAACATTTTATTAAAAAGATAATAAATAAAATTATATTAATAAATTAATACCAACCCTCAAATTAAATTGTACAACCTAAAATCAAACTAAAATTTTAACCATTTCCAACTTATAAATAGTTGAACATTTAAAATAATAATAAATAATGTGAAACAACAATATAATAAAAGCATAATAATAATGAATAAATAAAAAACATGCATTCATGCAATATAAAGTGTTTTGTGTACATGCAAACATAAATATAAACAAAGTAATTATTTAGCTTATATGAACTAAAACTTAATAAAATTTAAAAGAAGAAAAACAAATAATACAAATGTAAAAAATTAATTGTAAGATAACATTATAGTTGTATATAAAATTAATCCCATACATAATATTTTCAAGTGGTACAAAGATTCACATGTTCAGGTTGAACATACGTCCTGTTGACATGGTCATGGTTGATGGAAATAAGATATTTTGAGCCATTCGCCACATCTTCACTTCTCCGCGGCTGAAATCATCGCATACACACACCACATGCAAAATTGTCCCGCCACCATACCACCACTAAATATTGTATACACTAATATAATAACAATTAACACATACTGAGCTGCTGTAAAGACGTGTGTTGAATTTGTAGCAATTGCATTAATTGGAGAATCATGTGCTTTTATTTCACCAAGAAGTGAGCAAGATGACTCTGACCATAATTTTAAAGACCCGCTACGACAAACACTTAATAAAAATGGTTGGTCAGGAACAACAGCCAATCCACATATCCAATCTTTGTGAGCATTATTTATTGACTAAAGGTACATACATATGGTTCATTAATAATTATTACATAAATATTAATAATAGTAATGGCTAAGTTACTCACAGTAACTAATTCTTGTTTATCTAGATCCCATTTCTTGATAGCATAATCTCTTGAGCCAGAAAACAATATTTGATTACGTATTGCAAGAGTTTGTATACCGTCATAATGAGGGGGTTCTAGGTTGACAGTAGGATTATAAGTTCCAACAGCTTCCTCATCAACTTCAAACATTTTAATATAATGGTCTTTAGATCCAGTAACTATAATATCCTTGTTATCAAACCGCCCAACTGCTAAACACATAACAGCAGCTGTGTGACCACTACTTAATTTTCCCCTAACCGTAAATCTTTAAAATAAAATTATGTTATAAAATAAACACATAAATATTTTTCAAAAAATAATTTTACTTTCTCATATCCCAAATTTTCACTTTATCACTCGTTGTCATATATAATGTTCGTCCATAGTTATTAAGGGCTATATCATTCAACAAAATTTCTCCAACTGGAATTTGTGATGACATAACTGATCCATTGTTTACAATGCCTGATGAGCTAAACAAATTAATATCAATTAATTAATAATTAAGTTAAAAAAATATTCTAATATTTAAGCTTAATACTATACAACTAGAAGCTATCCTAATAAAATTATATAAAAATATAATTTTTTTAAAAAAATGAATAACAAATTAGGGGTTAAATTATTTTTATTTTTAATGTAATAAATATTTTTGACTTATTTGTTTTGCTTTTTATTAGATTCAGTTAAATTATATAACTAAATTTGATTTCACAAAAAAAGAGGACTATGTCATAATTAACTTTAAATTCAAATTTTAATCCAGTTCCTTTCATATTTTGTTAAATATATTACATACTTATATATTAGTGCAGTGCTTGCCAAACTTTTTTGACTCAAGGCACCCTTTTTGATCCAAGGTTTTTCCAGGGCGCCTTTCTCTAAGTTATAGCATGACTAATCATAAAGAAAATGTTAGACCCAATAGTATTTCATGAAGGCATGGCGTCTTTAAACACACATCGCGGCACATACTTTGGGAAGCTATGTATTAGTGTATATTTGATTTTTTTTTAGACTAGTTTTATAAATACTGTAAATTATTTGGTGTTCAGTCAATTATGAAAATGTTAATATTATAATTAACAGGTAAAAATTTAAGTCTATTGTAATTGCTTTGCTATAATTATTTCTAATAAAAAGTAAGTTGATTCAAAAAAAAAAAAATTTAAGTATGGGATATTAGTTACAATCCTCAAATCTGGATAATAATAACTCAATCTAGACTTTTATTCTTAAAATTGAACTAAATTAAAGTAAAAAATAACCAGCACTAAATATTACCTTAATGTTTTAATGCATTTTGATAGTCGCATATCCCAAACTCTTACATATGAAGAAGTTACACTTAATACGAGTTGTGCATATTCATCATATTTTATTGCAACAACACTATTTGGATGGCCTGATAGCGTTTGAATTTCTTTACCATTATTAAGATCCCAAATTTTAACAGTCTTATCTAATAATAATAAAAAAACATTAAAACAAAAATCTAGTCCGAAATAAAAATTATGAAATTAACCTTTTGATGCACTAAACATCATGTCGTTAGTAGCATACACAGCTAGAACTGCTCTAGAATGGCCTTCTGTAACATGAGTACACACCAAAGGTGTTTTGGGTGAAATCTAAAAACATTTCTTAGTTACAGATATGGATAAATTATAATAATAATATACAATATTATTATGACAATTGTTATTTAAAATTTACTTTTCCTTGGTAAGGTTGAATCACTCCTTTGGATCGATGCAGTTCAGTTGATTGAGGTATACTTGACGTAAGGCGAGAAAAAACATCTTCATCACGACTAATTGCTCGGCGATAAGAAGGCGGAGAATTTGGAGGGCTTTTGTTAAGTCGGTCCCTTTTAGATTGAAAAAAAAGCACCAACACCAATGAGTTAGTTAGTAGTTAATTTATTTATTGAGTATATGATAAGTCAAGCTGATAAAATTCATTAATATAATACATACATACATTTATTATATTATACGTATAATTATAGTAAAAATGTGATTAGAAATTAAAAAGTTAATAGTTAGTGAGAGCACTCACATAGAACCAGGTTTGCCCAGTAAATTTGTGTTAGGAGCAATAATAAATGTGCCTCGTCTAATAGGGCGAGGTGATACTGATTCTTGCCTTTCAATTTGTTTTCGACCCATCACTGGTGAAGGCTTATATTTATCAGGTCTGAAATTCAACATTCATAAGATATAATAACATTTAAGAGTTACAAATTCAATGAATAATGAATTAAAAATGAATATTATTCAAATCAAATACTATTAATAGTTAATATAAATATACCTTAAAAAAGAAGAAGCACTTGGCACACGTGTAAGAGGTACTCGTTGTGGTTGTTGTTGGTCAACATTTTTGGAAGCATAAAGCAATTCTTGAGCTTGAGCAGCTCTGCGTCTATGTTTGCTTGCTCCAACATCATTTTTAGAGTGTGTACTACTTCTGAAATTGTAATGAAATCAAAATACAAATCATAATAATAGAAGTTATATTTGAAAATATAAATTGACATTCTTAAGTGATAGTATTACTTACGCCATGTCTGAAGGAGAAGTGGAACGTGATGAAGATGTTGAACTCACAACCGATCTGATGTCTCTGTCACTACTGGTAGTCATACTTGTAGGCATTTCATTTATGCGTTCTCGACTGGACAACATATGTTCAATTAATTGTTTTTGTATTTCATTCTCTTTTTCAAGCTTGAAATAGGAATAAAACAAGAACTTAAATAAACATAAATACTTCAGAATTAAAATTAAAAGCATAATACATGCATTATTTACAGTGTTTTATATAGCTTCTAATATCCTCATATTTTACAGTATACGAGAATATAATAGTTGCAGTACTTAAAATAAAAACATAAAAAATCACAATTTAAACAACTAAAGTTTTTAACAAACGCTTCTATATATTTTGTGAATAAAATTAGAATTTTTTATTTCTAACCTTAATTTAAACAATATTTAATTAAAATATAATGAGAATCAAGAAGATTAATCAAAATGTCATTAATTGTTTAATATTGGACTTTAACATATATTATATATATAATAAACATAAATTAAAATTTAATATATTCCAAAAATATTACTTGTTGCATTTTAGTTTCTAATTCTTTTACATTTAAGTCTCTTTGGGCTGCCAAACAAGAATTATGTAAAGACATCTGAAAGAGTTTGTCCAATACATATATAGCATCTGGTAAACTATTAATATGGCCATTTAGTTCCAAACTTTCAGTTACAGTCTGAAAATAGTTATGTTTATTACATCAAGTGAATTATAATGAAAAATAAAATGAACAGTTATAAACCTTAGAATCTTCAACTTGCAATATATTTTCTTGGAGTTCTTTAATACTGTCATCAACATAATCTAAATTAGCTCTAATTGCTTCAATTTCGTCTTCGAAATCACGGTGTAAATTACTATCACGAGGCTGTTGAACTTGTGCTTCAGCTAACTTTTTTAGTTTGAAATCTAAATCTGAATGTAATTTCTTTCTTTCTTGAAGTAGTCTAGAATTCAATAATTTTATATAAAATAAAATGTTTAAAAAATAGCTGAATAATTTAAATTATTTACCTTTCCATGTCTTTTTCTAAAGAATATAATGTCTGTTTATTTAATGTTAAAGCAGAAATATTTTTTTCTAAATTGATCCATGTTTGCTTGGAATTCTTTCGAATGGCTTGAGTGCCAATAATACCAGTTCGATTATTTACAGTTCTTGCAGCGCGACGAAGTGCAGTCACTTCTTCTTGTTTTCTCTTCAGTACAGCATCACGAACACGAGATTTTGATTCAAGATTCCTCATTCTAATTTCAGCTCGTCTAGACTCTTTTCTAAGTTGAGCAATTTCTTTGGCTTTTTTCATTTCTACCTCATGATGTCTAGTTGTTTCTTCTTTTATTTTATTCATTAATTTTACTTTAGTACGTTTCATGTCATTTACTTCATATTTAAGAGTTCGTACTTGATTTTCATACTGAGATTGATCTCTTAAAAGTTTGGCATGTTCTTTTTTAGCAGACTGTAAAGATTTTAATTCTTTTTGCATAGTACCAAGTCTTTTTTCATAATCATCTTTTACTTTTTTAACTTTTTCAGACTGATTATTATTATTACCTAAATATTAATACATTTTTACAAATTTTTAATAATTAACTATCTAAATTTATTGAAATTAATAGAATAAAACTAAATAATTACCACCAAGAGAAGTAAGAACTGTATCTCGTTCATCTTGAGTTAATTTAATTTTTGTTTGTAACTGTTGTAGTTTGTCTTCATAATGCTGTCTTAGGTTAGCTAATCTACGTTGGGATAGTTCCAATTCTTCAATAAGCTTTTGCTTTAAATTTATTTCAGATGTCAAGTTAGCTAACTCTTGACTATATTGACTATCTACACTTGCTCGTTCATTTTCATCATCAGATGAATTTACATCACTATCTGAATATTAAATAAATAATAAATCAGTTAAATTGTATTTTAATAAATTAACATATAACTTACAAAAAATACATTAACATCTAATCAGTTAATAATTATTTTAAGATTTTAAAATATTTTAAGGAAAAATTAACAATAATTGTACAAGTTTGTATTAAAATAAATTATATGAAATGAATGTAATAAACATTTATTCAAATAAATACCATCAGAGTCAGAAGGTTCACTTTCTGTTTCTTGTAACTTCACTGATTTTAATCTTTCCAATGTTTGTTTTTCATTTTCTAACTCTTGTTTAGCTTTTGCAATTAATTCTTTTGAATTGTAATCTTCATTAGAACAACTGACGTAATGATTTTTTGGAAGTGAAGAAGTATTCTTACGTAATTGACCACACATATGTTCTGATTCTAATAATTTTGCTCGTAACTCTTCTATTTCTTTTAAATAACCTTGTACCACATCAGTCATATTAGATTCTATACCAGCATCTGTGTTTAACCATGCCCCTGTAGCTTTTTCAGCTAATAGCTGTGTATTCTTAATGGTTAAAGAATCAATAGTTTCTTGCATAGCTTTTATACGAGTTCTCATGTTACTTAATTCAGTTTGCAACATTGTATTCTCAAGATATGTATCATTTACACATTCCTCTCCATTTTCATTTACAGTTCTCTTACCCTGAAGAAAAAACAATATGTAATTAATTAAAAGCACATAATTGTAAGTAATAATGAAGTTAATAGCAAAAAACTTATACTGTATTCTAATATACCTGTTTATATTCCATAATTTCTAGTTGAAGTTGTTGTATCTCTTGTCGCAAAAACTGTATAGTTCTTGAAGATTTGTCTTGGTTCACTACAACCTTATTTTGAATATTACGTGCCCTATTAGCATATTTTAAGGTATTTAATGTTTCCATAAAATCTCTATCACTAGGCGAGACACATGCAATCATTACAGTACGACTGTTACCTGCACAACATACAAATTGTATTATAGTGTTTTTATTGAAAATTTAATAATTACCTCCTAGTGAGTCTTGAAGTAACCTTGTCAGTTTTGAATCTCTATAAGGCACATGTAGAGCTTTTCTAGACCTATCTCCCAGAGCTGATATAACATTTCCTAATGCTAATAAACCACAATTAATTGATATCCCTTCTTTGGCTCTATCTCCAGTAGCACCAGTTCGTTTCAATCTCTCAGACCCAGCCAGATCCACAAAATGAAATTTAGCAGTAAGTGTTTCAAATTCACCAGGATTACGAGTATTACTAGAATTTGTACCACATTCTTCCAAAGTAGATTCAGTGCCTTCATCCTAATAACAATTTTTTTGCTTAAATATTTTTAATAAAATACAGAGAAGTAATAAATATACCTCATGTTTAACAAATCGTTTTTGTTGAATATTAATAGTAAAGACTGCATGACTTCTGGATGATTGAGAATTCATCGCAGTAGCTGCAGTTGTACGAGATAAAGCGCCTTGACGTAAATTTGACAATGCTTCAGAAGCTGAATTTATAGGTTTCCAGGAAACACCAGTCACGTAAATATTGTGCTGCATATCCTCATGAATACGAATACCACTTTTTGTCTAACAAAATACAATAAAAAAATAAATTGATTATAGTTAATAAATTACAATTAATATACTTTAGCTATAGAATAATCATTAGCAGTATCGAATAAATCAATAATTTCTTCATTATATAATTCTAAAAATTGTGCAGTAACAGCAAAATGAGGCGGAGGATCTCCAGAATCTAAGGACTGTTGTTTTATAGTTTGTATTCCATCAAATAGTTGATGAATGGCTCGTGGTATAATGCCTACGGCGGATGGATCAGTATCATCAATATTCTCCAAATCAAAACCTGTACCCATGGTATAGGTTTTGCCAGATCCAGTCTAAACAATAACACATATTTTGGTTAAAATTGAAGATTTATATAATATTATTTTTGTTAAATACCTGGCCATAAGCAAGGACTGTTGCATTATAACCCTGTAAGGCACCAGCGACAAGATTAGAAGCACAGTTCTCATATACAGTCTGTTGGTTCTCGTGTGTATCAAACACAAAGTCATAAGTAAATGATTTATCAGAACCCAGAGTTACTTGTGGTTCTCCAGGAGTCACATTTGTACAAATACGACAGCCATCGATCACTTCACGGGCAATTTGAGGCCGTATTCTAAAAATATCACCATCCTATTAGTATAATGTTATAGATGAGACACTTCATGAAAAGTGTTTCACAAGAGGAAAGCAGATGGTACAAAAAGAGAATGTACAACATAAACAAATTATAAAAATAAAGAGCTCATTGTAGTTTTTATTATGGTTGAAAAAAAAATAAAAAAATAATAATAGTAATATTGACTTCAGGTCGACTCGTCGTTGTTGAATAACAAAACGTAAACAAAAACAAAAAAAATGAACGGACCAACTATTCGGTCATTCCCATATATGGAAAAACCGCTCGTTGCCCCCACATGGAAATTTACTTTTCCGCCACTCCTCGTCTGTCGTCATTCCCCGGAGACGCTCGACGGATTCTTGCCTGTTTCTCGACCTGTATGTGTCACGTTCCGTCACAGAGAATTACGAAGGCCGTGCGGCCCGTTAAGGATTTTTAATTTATTACACGTTACACACACGCACAACAATATTAATGACAATATAATGAAATGCCCACAATTATGGACACAGAAAGTACGACGGCTATATTATTAATAATATAATAAAGAGACACGAAGGCCGCGTGAAAAACATTGTCCGGTAAGGTCATGATTAGGTCCACGGGGGTGGAGCTACGAAGCTCCGATCTTAAACGTCTATAGGAAAACGGTTTCCACACGCTTGAAATATCAACCGTATTATGTATTTACTACTTACCTCACGGCCACTTTAACGGACGATTCGTCCTCGGAAAAAGACATGACGATGAGGCAGGGAACGTGGTAGAAGCGTCAGTGGTGTACGGCGGGATCACCGGACATCGTCGAGTGGACGGACTATTGTTGTCTCACAAGTATTCTACGGAAGCCCGCGGCGCGTACATCCGGAATTCGAGAGAAAAACCATTTCCGAGTGATGGGTCATCATCGTCGCACGCACACGCGCGCTACACACATCGTTGATGACGGAAAAAAAAAAAAATCGAAACCCGTCTTTTCGACGGACCGATAACAACATTTAATTATGATCAATGTTTGATAAAATAATAATAATACAGCAACAATAATAGAATTGAAGAAAACGGCGTCCAATATCGAGTATATGCGGTCGGACAGATTTACAGCGGGGACGACGAGCACCTATCAGACACCTGGCGTCGGCGGCGGCTGGTGACTGTCCGTTCGCTGCCGCAGCTGGAGGTTCGGTCACGGCACACTGATAACGAAAAAATAATAATAATAATAACATCGTTGGGAGGGAGTGAAGGGGCAACGGTTTCGGTCGGTTCGCTGGTCGGCGGTGCGGTGGTGGTAGGTAGCGCGCGCCGCCCATCGGCGCTGACCGTTTTCTCCATACCGACGTGTGTCCTCCCACGGATCGCGGTCTTCGACCGTTAAACAACCGAAACTGATCTGTGTTTGATAGACTTGGTGGCCTAACCGAACTAACGTACGATCAATAACAATAAATATCTCTTGCATCCGTCTCGTGTGCTGGTTCGTTTCGATCTCGTTGTTCTGAGTTCGGGGCCGAGCCTCTTTGTTGTTGTACTTGCTGCTCTTGCTGCTGCTGCTGCTGCTGTCATTTGTTTTCAACCTATACCTGATTGTATTGTTACCTACACGTTCATTGTCCGAAAATCATTTCAAACACTACACCTGCCGATGGTACCGTGCCACGAGGATACTGACGACGACGCCGTAGATGATGTACGACGAAATATTTTGTCAAAAACACCAAATATCGTACGGTACTGTGGCATATTTATTAGGGTTGCCATACGTCCCGGAAAACCGGGATTGTCACTGGTTTTGGACTTCGTGTCCCGGTGTCCCGAAAAATGTTTTCGGGACGTCCATATGTCCCGGCTTAGACGTCTAAAGGAAATGTAGTATTGTTTATTTTTTTAATTTCGACCAGTTTATTTCAAAGTACATTTTTAATCGTAATCGATTAACAATATATAATAAAAACATTATTTGTAATTTACACATATAATATATTTTATTTTACAAAAATATTTTTAAATATTATATTGCCGGCATAGACGTACGCACGAGGGTAATCGGGTGGGCCGTGGCCCCCATGTGGACTCTGGATTTTTCTTATTAAGGTGTATATCTATATTATACAAGATGGCGAACATTTTTACATTTTACATGAATAAAGTAAAGCCTGTTTTAATTATATAGTATAGAATTTATATCTGTGAATAAATGTAATAAAGTTATTAGTTATTAATCAGACTAATCAGAACTTGAATATAATATAAAAATTGAAGATGTAATTCATGCATTCAAAAACCTTACTCTCGTTGACAGAAGGATGGAGTTTTAAATAGTATAATAATATGTAAATAAGGATTTCTTAGACATAAATTGTGTAAGTTTAAAGAGTATTTATTTTTATATTTGTATTTTGAATAAAATAAATAATTTATAAAATTTAAAATATTTAATTATACTGTATTTAGTACAAGAATCTTTGGTTCGTTTTTTTTAAGGGCCCCCCCTGCGGACAAAGTTTGCGCACGCCAATGATTGCCGGCCATTAATGGTCTTTTTCAGTGACGTATACATAACTTGTATGGAGGAGGGGGGGGGGTGATGATTTGCAAACAAATCATAATTTTTATTTTATTATTATTTTCTTTTTTTACGTTTTTAACACTCTTACACTAAGAACATTATTTTATAACATTTAAAAAAAGGCCTAGGGGAACTGACCTCCACAACCCTCCTTGTATACGTCACTGGTCCTCCCAATATATTAAAAGTATATTACTCAATAATTTGTTTGTTTTGTCCCGGTTTCGCCTTATAAATTTATGGCAACCCTAATATTTATGAAGAAGAGATGAGGGTGAAATTTCAAAAAAAAAGTCTGCTTTTACTCTAAAAACATAAATTGTAGAAGTTCATATTATCATTGTTTTATGAATTATAAATTCAAATTGTTCATGTTATGAAGTGTACCTATTAATTTTCTAATATTATGTCAGTATTTTATTTCATTAATTTTGTAAATAATAATTATAATTATGTAGGTACCAATACAAATTAAAATTTGTTTTTAATAGGTTAAATTTTAAAATTGCATTTAGGGAAAATTCGATAGCATCTTCCACATAAGCGCAATTTGGGGGAGGGGCTTGGGTGTGCTTAGCACCTGCAAATGTGTTCATGTTGATTTACATTTAAATACTCATTATTTATTATGTAAAGAAAAACAGAGTTTTTATTGTATAAATATATAAATTTATTATTCAAATTGTGGTGGTGGAAGTTCGTCCTTCGTTTCTTGGGTCCTTGAACTGGATAATAGTAATAGGTAGGGTTGCTAAATTTTGAAATTCCTAAACTTAAACTATTATTGAATGACTATTTTTTTATTTTGATATGAAAACAAAATAAGTATACAATTTTGTAATTTAAATATTTATTGGCTAATACATTATTACTGTATATAACCATACCAATTAGATTACCATAATATATTAATATTATCCACAATATTATTCTATGTTTTTATTATTAAATAATATAATATTAAATGTTATTTTCCCTCAGCTTCTATTAATAGGGATAAACTGAATGATTGGCCGGGACACCGGGATGAGTGGAAAGCCTAGTAGTAAATATACTGTAAATAGTATTTAGTATACTAAAGTATATTATGGTGTATTATACTGTATATTAATAGTATATTATACTGATTTTTAAAGAAATGATAAGTCATTTCTTTATCAAAACGGTTTTGAGCAAAGGTTCAGTATAAAAATTAACAATTTATAAGTTATTTTACCATTTTTAGTATAATTATCGGTAGGTTCTTTTTTTTATCAACCTGTTTAACATTTTATTGTTTGACGAAGAAAAATTTTTTTTTATACAAATATTTATCTGTGTAATCAAAGTTTCATTATTTGGATGGACCAAATTTTTTAATAAACATTTAATGTTAAAAATGTATGTAAAAACAGTAAAATCCGTAAAAATCGTAGGTATTATAATTTTCTTAAATGCTAATGAAAATGACTAACAATTTTTAAAATGTTTTCAATATCGATAAATAAGTACTCGTTTACGAGTAAAGTGATATTAAATTTTCACTTAATATTCAAAAATAAAAATTTTATTACACAAACATTTTCAAAAATTGGGTATTTTTAAAGTTCTGTATTTAAATCAAAAGCACTTTTTGAAAATGTTGTCGAATTCAAAAAAAATATCTATTCTATAGTTTAAAAGTTTCAAGTTAGTTAGCCACATTGCTTTTGGAATTATGACTAAATAACTAAAATCTAAAAAGTTAAAGTCTTATTTACAGCGTATTTTTACCATTTCAGGACAGTTTTTTCCTCACGTCTGGAAAAACTCTTAAGATTTAAAAATATGAACTATTAAATATACCATCACATGCCAATTTAAAATCTAAAAAGTTTCTAGAAAAAACTTTTGGACCAGTATTTTTATCCGAAAAAGTGTTAAAAAAAATAACAAAAACATTATAAAACCAAAATATCCTTCGCTTTAGTCAGAATCTAAAAGTTGATGATCATGTGATGAAACATTTGTGTTTACAGACGGGTAATTCGTTCAGTGTTGGGAATAGATAATTCAAAATTTATCTAGATAAAGATGAAAGATAATACATAAAAATTCATATAGATAAAGATAAAAGGTAATTTCATTTTTATCTAGATAAAAAAAAGATATTTTCAAAATTTTTTATTTTTTGGTCAATATTTCATATTTGTTACAATATCTATGAAAACTCAATTATAATCATTATTATCAATAGGTACCTAGTTTAGTATTTTATTTCTATTTTAGTAATTTTGTGTACCATTAAGCAGTATTTATATATAATGTAGGTACAATATTTAATGATAGTAAATCACTAAAATGGTAACAAAAAAAAAAAAAATAATGAAAATTGCTCTATACGTATCAGGATGAATACTAGATGAATAGGAAATTATTTTATGTTGACAATATTGTTTTCCATATAATCTTAATTTCATGATTTTAATTATTCTGTAAGTAGTTACGACTTTACGGGTCCCAAGAGTGAAGTATTGACTATTCAACGTATGAGTTACAAGTGTATACTAAAATCGAATACCTACTATATTTGGAACTTCCATGGAAAAATAAGAAATTAAGTTTAAAAATACCAAAAATATTTTCCTGACATGAAAATACAAACAAAATGTCATACCAAGAAATAATAATTACTTATTAATAATACGCGAATAATGATTATGAATACAAAATCTATATATATATATATAAAAGGAAGTCGGGTTAGTTACAGAATTTATAATTCAAGAACGTCTGAACCGATTTTTATAATCTCTGATTTGTTGGATTCGTCTCCGTACAAGAATAAAAATAATTCTAATCTTGGCAAGAATACAGACAATTATCTAGATAAGTAAAAATGTCATCTTGGATAAGTAATTAGATAACTTAGCGTTATTTATCTAGATAAGATAAAAGATGACAAAAAATCTATCTAGGTAAGTCCCAACACTAAATTCTTTTTACGCTCAATAAAAATATAAAATCAAAGTGAACAATTTAAATTTAGAAATATTCAAATGTTTACCAGATATTTTAATAACTGTTGAATTGTACGGGTAACGGGTATCTATAACCGTTAAGGAATATGAAAAAGATAGAAGGGCTTCAGCACACCCAGTTTTTTCATTGAAATTGCGCTCCTGCTCTTCCAAAAAAATCAAAATACGCTCCTGATACGGTTAGGTTAGTAGACTTATTTGATCGCGAATACTTCCTCTTATGGTTTATTTTATACCAATTTTTATCAATGCACAAATAGTTCTTTACACACAGGGCCGGCGAGAACTTTTGAGGGCCCCGAGGTTTATCGGTTATAGGCATCATTTACTAATACTTGATTGGCCAAAATATACCTAATATGTACTTGTACATACTTTAGTAAAGTAAAAATATTCAAATTTACATCTTATGTTACGGCGTATGAGAATATAAAATAATTTTGTATAAAAGGCTGAGACGATGGGCCCTTTGGGAGGTAAGGGCCCCGGGGCTCTAGCTCTTCTTGTCTCACCCTCTCGTCGGCCCTGTCTACTTCCGGATCGTAATTTTACTCCGTTTGGTATTAACACACATTACGTGTTGTCGATGTATTATTATTAAAAATGTTG